CTCCTGGAACTCTATCAACAAAGAATTGAATATTGGAAATAGAAATCAAGTACGTTGTGGTTGAAAGCTGGAGACAAGAGTACAAAGTTCTTTCATGCACTCACAGCACAGAGAAGAAGAATGAATGCTATCACAAGACTGTTTGATGAGAATGGCCAACTTATTGAAGATCAACACAACATCCAAAATTGTGTGTGCAGATTCTATGAGAACCTATATACCTCAGAAGGCCCAACAGACAATGTGGAGATTCTCTGCAATATTCCTCAATCCATCACTGACCAACAAAACCAAGAATTGATAGCAGAGGTTGATGACGAGGAGATCACTGAGGCTCTGTTCAACTTACACCCAGAAAAATCCCCTAGTGAGGATGGCATGACATGTGTCTTCTTTCAACATTTCTGGCCTATCCTGAAGGAGGATGTTTGTGCTGCTATTAAAAGCTACTTTCAATCAGGCAGAATGCTCAGATATTAGAACCTTACTATTATCTCTCTTATACCTAAATGTCTCTATCCTGACTCCCTCAGCAAATATAGGCCACTAAGCCTTTGTGGTGTGTTATACATGCAATCTCAAAAATACTCGCTAACAGACTAATGCCATATCTATCTACTTGTATTAGTGAGTATCAAATAATTTTCATCCCTGACAGAACTCTCCTGGATAATGTGGTGATAGCTCGGGAGGTCTTCCATTTTCTAAACAGACACAGATCATGTAACAATTCTTCATGGAAATTAAGCTTGATTTACTCAAAGACTTTGACAGACTTGAATGAGACTGTGTGAAGATGGTAATGACCAGGATGGGCTTTCACTCAAAATTTATTAAATGGATTATGGGTTGTATTACCTCTCTCACTTACTTTTTCAAGTTAAATAGCTCTGTATGTGGTTTGGTGCAGCCTTTTTGTGGAATAAGACAGGGATCAGAGATCCCATTTCCCATATCTTTTATCATGGTGGCTGAAACTTTTTCTACTCTTATTTTAAAAGAGGATGGCTTATGGGGCATCAAAGGGATAAGAATCTCAAAAAATGGCCCAACATTATCTCATCTATTGTTTGCAGATGATACTCTTGTTTTTTTTAAAGTGACACTAACCAAGCATTTCAGCTAATGGACATTCTTGCAAAGTACCAATCCATCTCAGGGCGAAGGGTGAACTGGTCCAAGTCCACAATTTTCTTCAGTAAAAACTCACCTCAACAGCTAAGAAGGGGAATCTGCCACATCCTCAACAACATTGCAGAGCACATCTCTACCAAATATCTGAGATTTCCTCTGGGCATTGGTAAGTCCAAAGCGCAAGCCTTTTCTTTTGTTATTGAGACAGTTAGAGGCAGGACTAATAGCTGGAAAAATAACCTCCTATCTTCAGCAGGTAAAAAAGTATTGATAAAAGCTATTCTAAAGGCTCTTCTTATATTTGTTATGGGGTACTTTAAACAATCTGCTTCTGTTTGTAAGGAAATAGCTGCTTTATGTGCTGAATTTTTGTGGAGTAGAGGTGGTGACCAAGCTAAATGTATTCATTGGGTGAGCTCGAATAAAGTTGCATTGCCAAAAAAGTTGGGAGACTTAGGATTTCAGGATATTAAAGCTTTTCAACGAGGCAAAGATATTGAAACAATTGTGGAAACTAACTACTTTGTTTGATCTTTTAGTGTGCATGGTGCTCAAAGATAGATATTTTTCTTCCTCTTATTTCTGTGATGCCAGGAGGAAAAATGGGGGATCCCGATTATGGTATTCATAGATGGAGATAAAGCCTAAATTTGATCAATTAATTCAGGTCAATCTGCTCAGTTGCCGCAACACTTCGATCCTAGGTTACCCTATGATAAAATCCCTTGGATCTCAAAGAGTTAGGTTTAAAGATGGAATTCATGCCAATTTCACCCTGGTTAAGGAAGTGCTCATTGATAATGGGAAAACCTGGAACTTTGCCCTTATTCATCATCTTTTTGACAATCAGACAACAAAAGCCATCCTGGAAATTCACAACCTTGAACCACATATGAAAGACAGTTGAATATGGCTTGGCTCAAAACAAGGTATGTTCACAGTTGTCTCGCTTACTCGACACTCATTCTTGACAAAGTTGCGCAAATTTCTAAGCCATAAGGAAGCTCCTCCAGCACAAGATATATGAAGATCAGAGCTAGGACTTGTAAAATTAAGACCAAGGGCAAAATAAAACATTTTATATGGAAGTGTTTCACAGGAACTCTTCCACTCAACAGAAATCTCATCAAAAAAGGTGTTTTTGTTGACCCTATTTGTCATATCTGTGGAGAAGTAGAGGAAACTATTGAGCATACTCTTTGGCAATGTAGTAAAGCTCAAAGAACATTAAGCATAGCACCTGTCAATTGGGACTGCCTTTCACAACCGAATACATCTTTCTCTGACTTATGGTAGACAATTTGCTCTATAGGTTCTAAGAAGAATGATGAAAGCCGCATCCAACTATCAACGAACATATTGTGGTGGTTGTGGAAATCCCGCAATCTGTGAGTTTTTCCAAGGACTTCACCTCCCTGAGGACAACTTGATTCAGCTGGCTATCAGAGAGAGGCAAGAGTATTGCTCAGTTACTTAGTCATGCTCATTTTTATCCGATGAAGGATTAAACTAGATCTCGGACAGTTTTTTAATCTCTTCATTGGATTATTATTTATCTAGCTAAAGACCTCAGCATAGTGCTGCCTTAGCTTGCATTTGTACTTAGACTTCAAATGTGAGGTCTCCCATAATGCACGATTGTGGTATTCGGATTATTGTACTTGGTAGTATTAGGATTTTGTAGTATTAGGATTATTGTTTTAGATGTACCTGAACTATGTACACTTTTATGTTATGAGTACCCTACCGTTTCGACAAATGAATAAAGATTAACACCATAAAATTGTTAACTTATGAATAAAGATTAACACAGTTGCACTCTTTTTTATATGTCATGATATCACTTTAACAAAATTAATAAAAACACTCGAAAATAAATTAAAAAAAATTAATAATTGTTAAAAAAAATAATTAATTATGAGTTCAATACTGCCGAAACCAACTCCCAAATAAAAAAAAAAAAATTGGACTTTTAAAATTCAAAAATCAGGCCAGAAACCCAACGGGACCGGTGCACCTGGACTGGCCGGTTCGAAAGAAAATAAAACTGTTTGAACCGAAACCGGTGCATGCATTAACCGCAATTTTTTGCTGCAACATGACTTCCTATTTCCATTTCCGTTTCCCTTACCGCCATTAACAGTTGGATCGGAAATGGCTTCAATTTGGACGGTACGCTTTCATACGCCATCGTCTCTTCCCTGTAAGCTAACCATCAGCTCCACCACAGCTCGACAATTTTCCAACTTCCATGTTTGTTTCCTTTTCAATTCATTCATCGCGTCCAACAATGCAGGTCCGAGGATTTTCCGATGATCTTCAGTTCCGGTCGGTTTTGGCAATCGATTGCAAGCGTGCGCCCTGGAACCGAAGAGTTAAGTACAGGAAACTGGTGCCGAGGGCGGTTGTTTGCGGCGGTGACAGGCGCCACGACGTCGATAATGCCGTGGCTAAGTTGCAAGAATCGATTGGAGCTCTCCCTTTTGATTCTTTTTCAGTATTTTTTCAGTGCATTATTCCTCTAGTGCCTTGTATTTTGATGCCCTGTGTGTGTGTGTGTGTGTGTGTGTTTCTCTTCATTATTTTGAGGAAACCCCAATTTGCATATCATGCCTTTATACACAGCTCGACGCCCCTCAAGTATGAAGGCCTGTTCGACAATCCCATGATCAAAATGAGCAAAAACAATTTAACTGTAGAGATGTGTGGCAAAGTGTACCGTCTGGCTCCCGTGACCCTAACGGACGAGATACAGACAATACATTAGAGGCGAAAGTCCCGCGCGCATCAATGGAAGAGGCCAACAGTATTTCTCAAGGAAGGCGAATCGGTGCCTCCCGATGTGGATCCCAATACGGTTAGGTGGATGTGGATCCCTGCAAATCACCCATTTGCAACGACTTCTAGTGATATTGACGAGGGCTTGGCTCTGAACAACGCGTACTAGAAGCACGGTGTTCCGCTCCGTATCCAGGCGGAACACGAGGCCTTGCAGAGGAAACTCGAAGCCTTGCAAAATGTAAGTTTGCCTCCCAAAGTAGAAAAAAGTCGATTTTTGTTTGAACTAGGTGCACTTTTATTTATTTTTGTTCGTTTTTTTTTTTCCTTAACAGGAGGAGAAGCTCGGGAAACTAGTGATAGAACCTGATCAAAACAGCATGAGTTCTAAAGGGGGCTCTAATAATCCTTCTTCATGTGGTCACATCAGTAATCCCTTGGGAAGTAATCTGCTGCCATTCGAGGAGATGCACGACTCTTGAATTCTACCGCATATTTCGAGGGCCGATGTGCTATGTGGAGCCGAGCAGCAAGACCTGAGGAGAGCTGCAAAATTTTTCACAGATAGAACACTGTACATAGATTTTCTGTTGAATTCTTCCACAAAGTGTTGTCTGCAATCTTGACATTTTGCGTAATTTTTTTTCCCCTTCGCTTAGCCAATGACATTTCTATGTATAATTATATATTAAAAAAATTATATAAAGCCATTTGTTCTTCCATTTCATCATATATGCACAGTTTTACTTGAAAGAATTTGAACAGTGATCGAGTTGTCAAAGCTCCAAGGGGTCTCAGTATTATTACCATACCATCTATTTCCTCTGCACAAATATAACTCAAAACTGAAACCAATTATTTTACTCAGATAAATATCATTTTTCACTACTCATCGATAGACGAAAAATCATTCGAACAAGCCCAAAGGGTCGAACCACACATCACCCGAATCCACCCGACCAATCACCATCACCATCCCCAACCTCGAATCACATCCATGCCAGAAAAAACCCAATCGAAATAACTCTCCAGCAAACAATATATAGAAACAATAAAACCGCACACACCACAAACAAGGCCATGCGTCCCTAGCGCCTCGTTTGGCCTCCGACAGCAAAAAACTCGGTGATAACCTCCAAAGGCATGCCCTTTGTCTCGGGAACCCTCAAGAATACGAAAACAAACGAGACGAAGCAAACCGAGGCGAAAAACCCGGCCACGCCAACTAAGCCGACAGAGTTAAGGAGAATGGGCATAGTGTATGTGACGAGGAAGTCGCAAATCCAAAAGACGAGGGCACAAATGGCAATGCAAATGCCACGAACCCGTGTGGGGAAGATTTCGGAGCATAGGATATTCGGAATGGGCCCAAAGCCCATTACGAAGAAGCAGAAGTACGTGACCACACTCGCGGTCGAGATCACGGCATGGGCCATTGTGCCAAAGTCCAAAATGTTCACTATGAGGAGGAATATGAGGGACACAACCAAAACCGGGATGGTCGAGAGCAACAAAGACCTGCGTTTAAATTTAGATTTTTTTTTAACGGAGAAAAGAGCAATATAACTACGCGGACAATTCTATATGTTAGTCGAACATACTTTTCCGACAGATACTTTCACAAGGAGTGACGGTTTAGCTTGTATTTCAAATTTTGTACCGGGACATCAATATATTGTTCAAGAAAAGTTGATTCGGAGGCTAACATGATAAACGGCATGAAGAAGTTCGAGGGAAAACAATTAAAAAAAAAAAAAATTGAGGACTTAAGTTACCTTCTACCAGCTACATCCATGAATCTCATTGCAATAGCTATGCTCGGAAGCATCAAAAAATTCGTGAAGGCGCTAATGAGAAAAGTTGCCGAGTCCGACCCAAGACCAAGCTTCGAGAGAAGAACACCTACGCCTGCCTGCTGAAGAATTTGTGGAGTGTAGAACAGAACCCCACTGATCCCTGAAAGCTGAACAAACACAAAAAAATCGAAAAAACCAAATGAGGTATGATTCGGAAAAACCTCGTACCTACTTTAAGATTGACACATTGTAAAAACACATGGACATCCATTTAAGAATTTCCACAAACTAAGAGTCAAGTGTCGTGCCACACTGACTCTAGTAAACATTCTCCATTGACATCTTTCGAAAGGGGATGAATGAAGAGTAAAGGGAGTCCGAGGGAGAGAGCTTGTAAAAGATCAAATAATATCACCACTCAGATTATATAGTTAGAAACACTAGAAAAATGAGGCCCCTCACAATACACAATTCAAATACTACAAGCAGACAGAAAATCAAGAGAAGAATTCCAATAATACCTGCTGCAGCATCTGAATCCCGATCCCAACAACCAAAGCCCTCTTAACCCCCGGCTCGGAAAGCCCTACCAGGCTAGGCCCACCCGAGGCATTCTGTAACGGGTGCACCACAGCGGGCCCAACGGGCTGCCTCCGGCCCGCAAGCTCCTTTGGGACGAGCGCCGGCTGGCTCACCAGCGCCGCCGCATGCACAAACTCTCCTTCATCCCCACCGCCTCCCAAGACAGAGACAATCGATCCCCGCCTGGACCCTATCTCCTGGTGCTGGTGCAGGTAGACCCTCCTGAACCCCTCTTCCCCACCCTCCCCTTTCCCCGACCACTGCCACGTCAGCTGCCAGCCTCCCCCGATTCCCGTGCTCCCCTCCCGTGCGGGCCCGCCCGAACCATCCTTGTCCACGCTTGTCGCCTGGCGCGATATTAGTGGGGTCCGCAGGTTTTCCTCGGATTCCGTGTGGCCGCCGCCTTCATCGCAATCCGAGCCATCTCCGCTCGGCTGGAGGCTCTCCTCGTCCCACTCCTGCTCGTTTTTGGGCTCGGGGGCCGTGGTGCTGAACATGCTTCCGAAATTGGGGAACAGCGTGCTTGCCCCAGCATCCGGAAGCTTCTCGTGGACGCTCGTGAAGAGAGTCACAAGCGGGTCCATGAGGGGGGGAACGTTCGGGTTCGTGTTGCTGACCTGGCAGGATAGTAGTGTGCTGTGGTGGCTAGCGACGGGCCTCGCGATCCACGAGAGGCCTTCCTCGGGCCCGTACAGCTTGATGTGGTCCTTGTCCAAGGGCTCGTTGGCTGGGCTGATAATGTACTCTTCTATAGAGGTCTCGCCCCCGACAGTAAGGCCCTCCACCAGTAGGGCCATCTCGGCTGCACCGGATAGAAATGTCAATGGCATGAGAATCTTGATTTTAACATTGGTTGCGTACAAATTCGAGAAATGGAAAACTTTGTTCAGTAGCATCTCAGATTATTTAGCTGTGTTTCGAAGTTAATGTGTTAATCTAGCTGGGTTTGTTTACCTATAAGCATTGTGGGGAAGATGAGAAAGTACATGAAAATCTGACACACATTAGTCTGAGGATAATCATAATGGACAATCGAACATGCATTAGTATCACACCTCACAACAAGACAATTTGGTTATCATCAAACAGTAGCAGCAGCTAGTCTCATATTGTTCATATGATGCATATAAGAACTTAATGAGGAAATGATCTTCCCGAGTTCTCCATGAGGAATATATCGAACCAGACGGTAAATGAAATATTTAAGTGGAGTAGAAAAAAGGAAGGAAAGTTGTATGATATTATGCGGGACAACCTCCAATCCGGTCCTATACACTAGATACCCCAACTCAAATCCAAAGAAAAGGCAAGGAAAAAAAGGCATACGTGCCACTTAATGGAAAATTGATGAGTAAACTTCCTTCCCAAACAAGATTATATACCGATAAAATATACTGTCAATCCGAGATCACTCAGATTAAGTTAAGTTCTGAAACCAAATGAATCATGCTAATCCACATAAATAACTTCATCTCATGCACAACATCCAATTCTCCTACACAACCCATAAAATCAAAATCAAGACCACGAGCATCAAGAAACAGAGCAGCTTTTTATCCAGTCAGCCAACGATCAAAAGCCAGCCGAAAATTCGAGCAGAAAAATGAAACTGCAAACAAAATCATAAAGAGACGTTACCAGAGACATCCTCCCTGCCACGCAGCTGTTGCAAAACCCGCCTAGCCTCGAGCATCTTCCCTTTACTCACCAGCCACCTTGGCGACTCGGGCAGATAAAACACTGTCAGCCCAAAATACACCAAAGAAGGCACGAAAATAATCCCCAGAATAAACCGCCAGCTTGGCGCAGGCAAGAACGACATCCCGAAAATCATGGAGTATGCCAAAAACGTCCCTCCAGAGCTGAAGAACTGCGGAAGCGTGTTGAGCTGGCCCCTTATCTCCGGAGGGGCAGTTTCGGAAATGTAGACGGGAACAAGTGTGGCGGCCAGGCCCACGGCAAACCCGTCCAGGAGCCTGGCCATAAGTAGGATGTAGACATTAGGGGACCACAGCATTATTAAACCGCTTGTGATGTAGAAGAGGGAAGACATGACTAGCATCGGGCGCCGACCGATCACATCAGATATAGTTCCGGAGCAAGTTGTGATGAGAGTGGCCCCGATTAAAGACATGGCTACTATGAGGCCCTCCACGGATGCCCCCAGCTCGAGTTCTTTCTTGATGTAGACAACGGCTCCTGAGGCAAATGTGGGGAAAGGTTCGCAAAATAAATCGTGTTTTTTCAGACGTATTAAGGAAAGTGCTACAACAACGGAGTTTTTAGCCATTGAAGGTAAAAGGGATGAAAAATTGAATCTATATCCATTTTGATTCTGGAAACAAATCGTTGTTTTACGGATTCCATAAACAGAATGTATATCATTTTTCATCTCCGCATATAAAAAATCGATCCGCGCTTATGAAAAATGAATTTCATTGGCACCATAAAGTTCAGCAAGTATTTAGACTTGCCGGATATCCTACTCTCGTCAGGTACACAAAATTCAGCATTCAGCTGCTTTGAAGAATGGAAATAATATCACTTAATAAGGGGTATAAGAAGTGAAAAAAAGAATCAAACACATCTCGAATCAACAAAGGAGACTATTATTTAGTACCGGACGATAAAAGTTAAGCTAAAAGGGCTGAAAACGGGAAAATGATACAAGGGAAGCACAGAATATTCGAACATCTACAGAAATAACATAGGATAATAGAAGAAGAAAAGACCTCCAATAGTTGCATTGTCCCAACCCTGCAACAAGTTGCCGATTGTGGCCGTAACGGCTACCAGCACCGCCCCCTTCATCTTCTTGCACCGCGTAATCAAACTACTAAAGAAATTCAAAACAAAGAAAGATAAATCCATTAACACGAAGAGAAAACCAAGATTCATGGATACCCGTAAGATATCACTACAACATGATACATTTATGGAATCTTACAAAAAAAAAAGGTTCACAATTCTGCACATCTTCCTAATGAAAATCAATAAATTTTAAAGCTTGAATTTTGAGCGAGCGACATTTCTTGATACCTTCACGAATGCAGAAAAAGAGGGTCAATTATAAAACAAATGACCTGTGAAGAAATCACGTTCCCTTCACAAATCATGTGGAAAAATCCCCCAAAAAGTTGACGGCAACCCACGTCATTCTTGGAGCTCTCCGAAAACGAGGAGAATTTTGTGGGCATCTCAAAACTGGAACACGCGCACACAGCTCATCCCAGTTCTCAACCAATCTGCACATGAAATGAATTTTGTCAGAATTAAAACTCAAGACAAAGCCCTTTTAAAGAAAATGTGTAATAGACGAGGGCCCATAACTATAGACTCACTTGTCAAGATTGAATCTTTACAGCTTTGGGAGAATAGAAATGGTCTTCTACCCACCGTGGACACATTTTAATATGTCCACCGCGTACGTGGCATGCACTTATTGGTGATGTTAATATGTTTAAAAAAATACATCACCAATGAGTGGATGCCACCAACGCCGTGGGCATATTAACATGTGCCCAGTGTGGGGAGGTGAACATTTCTCTTGGGAGAAAATCAGTGAAAATTAGTATTGGAAAACTGGAAATAGCTGTTTAATGTTGTTTTGCAGGTGGACCTGTGAAAAAATGGAACCAATGAGGAGGCCCAGCTCGAATTTTGGGGAAAATAATAAAAAATTGCTGTCCAAATTTGTTTAGGCCTAGGTATCTAATTGTTGTTGGGTGTGGGGGATTCAGAGAGTATGCACTTTTCTAGGACCACTGACCGGTGTTGTCCGACAATTTTTTTCCACATCTGTGTGATAAATAAGTTAGCTTATAGCTTATTTATTAATTTATTTATTAGCTTATAAGTTCTCTTTATTTAAGGGTAAATTGCACCAAATCCCCCTGTGTTTAACGAAATGTGCGCGTTTCCCCACTGTGTTTTAAAAACTACACCAGACCCCCTTGTGTTTATGTAATTGTTGCACGGTTCCCCCATTCCGTCCAAGTTAACCGCGCGTGTGTGACACCTTCTCTAACTGCGAGATTTATTCAATTTTTTTATTTTCAGAATAATTAATTTACCATTTTACCCTTCTGAATCTTATTGAAAAAGCCAAAAATTTATAGTGTAGGTAATGGGACCCAGGATGCCCAAGAGATAGCATGCCAACAAAGCCACTAGGCTACATGACTGTTGTGATATCTATTGAACATACATATATTTATAATACAATAGGAAATGATTAAATAAAATAAAAATAAAGGAAATAAAGTAAATAAAAATATGATATGTAAATTAATATAAATTAAATAACTATTAATAATAATAACTTGAAATAAAATAAATTAACATAAAAATAATGAAACAATTAAATTAAAATAAAGTAAGATTAAATTTAATATATAGTAGCACGAATTAAAGTTAAATAAATTTTTAATATTTAATTACTAAAATAATTTAATTATTAAATTTTTAAATTAAAAAATGATAATAAAATTAAATATAAAATAAACACAATTAAACTAAAAATTTTATAAGATAATAAAGTATAAAAATTGTAAAGTAAATAATATAATTAATCAGATAAGTTATCATGTTATAATAAATTAAAGTAAATAAAATAAATAAAAATCTAAAAGGTAACTAAATATCAATTAAATAATTAATAATAATAATAATAATAATAATAATAATAATAATAATAATAATAATAACTTGAAATAAATTAAATTAACATGAAAATAATGTAACAATTAAATTAAAATAAAGTAAGATAAATTTAATATAGTAACATTAATTAAAATTAAATAAATTTATAAGTTTATTTTTTTTTTTGGTACAATATAAGAGGCCGAAGCCTAAGCGAGCACTAAGACATCACACGACGTGGACGAGCCACCCCTAAATAAAAATAAAATAAAAATATTATATGATAATAAATTATAATAATTGTAAAGTAAAATAATATAATAAATCAAATAAGTTATTAATAGATTAAAGTAAATAAAAATCATAAATTATTATAATATAATAAAGAAAACACAATTTAGCAAATACGTTAATATAATTTACTCTAACATACAATATCACTAAAATAATTGAAATAAATTATAATTTTTTTAATAAATGATTTATTTTTTAAAAAATAATTTAATTTCTAATTTTATTATTAAAATTTAACATAATTTGATTACATTATCTTAAGATAAACAAAATAAATAAAGTTTGTTAACTAAGATAATATAAAATGAACAATGCAATAAAATAATATAAATTACAACAAATAATAAAATATATAAATAATCTGAATATAATTTAATAAATATTATTATTTTAACTTTATTTTTAAATTTAAATATAATTTATTTTTATTATTTTGTTTTTGTTTAATATAATAAGTTATTTTTATATTTTCGTTTGGTTAATTTTATATAACTTGGTTCATTATATTTTAATTTATAATATATTTATATTTTAATAATTTAATTTAATATGATTTATATTACTTTTAAATTAAATTTCATTTATCCATATGTAATGCCTATGTATATTAAACTTTACCACATTTAACACTCAAGCTTGAGTGGTATAGTGGTAGCTTGCTTTGCATGCTCATGAGAGGTCATAGGTTCGAACCTGTGGACAACCCTTTTTTTTTTTAAATTCAATTTCTCGCGATATATCCAATATATCGTTAAATTCAATTTATCGTAAATATATATATAATATTGGAAGGGTATAACGGGGTTTTTGTATAAAAATTAACACCGTTAACAAGAAATTGAAAAAAGGGAGCGTTTGCATCGGTCACTTAAACACAAGGGGGTCTGGTGCAGTTTTTAAAACACAATGGGGAAACACGCACATTTCGTTAAACACAGGGGGGTTTGGTGCAATTAACCCCTTTATTTAAACTAGTACAGATCCCATGCGATGCACGGGGTGTACAATTTTAAGGTCATATATCTAGCATTGTAATTATATAAATGAATAAAAAAATGTACGGGATATATAGTACGTGAACTGTGCGAGGCACGAGAACTATTTATTTGAGGAGTATAACATTTTAAAACGTGGAATATCTTTTCATTTGCCACTGAGATAAGTATGTTGAACTATTCTTATCATCTTTTATAAATAAATATAATTATAAATTATTTCTTGCATAATACTATGAGATGTGTTAGTTATATTAATTGTAAATTTGTTTTTATTTGTGAAAGAGAGAGCGTGATTTATTTCCTTAATAATATGGAATTTTGGAAACAAAAAAATCTGAGATAAAAAAAATACACGTCCAAATTAGAAAAAAGATAAGAAAAGATTTGTGATCAAATGCGTGATTTATTTCCCTAATAATATGGAATTTTAGAAACAAAAAAATCTGAAATAAAAAAAAAAATACACGTCCAAATTGGAAAAAAGATAAGAAAAGATTTGTGATCAAATCTTACTATACATGTTTTATTTCTTGATTTTATCAGATTTTTTTTTAACCAAACTACACGTAATCAATGCACTTGATAAGATTAGAAAGTCATTAATTAATATTGACTATTCAACATACTGAATTTAGTAAATAGGTTTGCTTATAATATAAACTAGTACAAAGCCCGTGCGATGCACGGGGTGCACAATTTTAAGGTCATTTATCTATTCTTATAATTATATAATGAATAAAAAAAATGTACGGGATATATATAGTACGTGACCTGTAATAGGCCAAAATGTGAACACGGGTGATGCACAGGGTGCACAATTTTAAGGTCATTTATTAGTACAGAGCCCGTGCGATGCACGTGGTGCACAATTTTCTAGTATGTGTAATAAAAATACATACCGTATGCACGGGACAGAAGCACTAAATGAGTCATTTCCACAGAGCTTGCCCGTTAAGTAGCTCCTGAACACGGGTGCACAATTTGTAGTACGTACCATAAAATCATAACAGATTTCCATATAATTAGATAATAAATTAGATAATAAATAAAGCCTTTTTATTTTAGTAAAGATTTTACGTACTTTTTTTTTTACTTATCAGATGTTATGGGATTTTTTTTGTTAAGCCGATTTTATGGAATATAATACAAATACAATTAGAGGATTGAACAAAATCATAACAGATTTTCATACAATTAAATAATAAAAAAGAATTAGATAAGGAAAAGAATGAATTAGATAAGAAAAATAAGGAATTAGATAAGGACTTTTGAATCTGATTTTTTTTTTTTTTTTTTT